CGAGATGAAGTTGAGGAACTTCTTACGAAAATGGAACGGCAAGGGGTGATTGAAAAGTTAAAGAGTCCATGGTCTTCGCCAATTGTCCTGGTCAAGAAGAAGGACGGGAGTACCAGGTTTTGTGTGGATTATCGTCGCCTCAACGAGGTTACAAAGAAGGATTCATATCCGTTGCCAAGGATCGAGGATACTCTGGATGCGGTGGCCGGTTCAACGTGGTTCACGACGCTGGATTTACAGAGTGGATATTGGCAGATCTTAGTTGATGATGAGGATAAGGAGAAGACCGCCTTCTGCGTTGGCACAGGACTGTGGCAATTTAAAGTCATGCCCTTCGGACTTTGTAACGCTCCAGCCACTTTCGAGCGTTTGATGGAAAATGTTTTACAAGGATTGAACTGGAAGATTTGTCTTGTTTATTTGGATGACGTAATCATTTTTGCGAAAAGCTTCGATCAAGAGATTGAGCATATAAAAGTTGTATTCTCCCGCTTGCGCGACGCCAAACTTCTACTGAGCCCGAAGAAATGTAATTTCTTTTGCCGGGAGGTCAGGCGCGTCTTTTGAAGATCACAATGTATCGGGAAGCCGACCTGTACGGATCTATTGCTTAAAACTCCTTTGTTATTGCTTAACACTCCCAGGCGCAACAATATAATGGGCAGGTATTTCACAAATGGCCCGGACATTTTATATAATACCCACGGTTTTTTGTATTACACTTATTATTATTATTAAACTTATTATTATTATTATTATTATTATTATTAAAACCATACATAGATGTGATAGGTTAGGATGGGCCAAACACTTAAATCCGGCCGCCGTGAAGCGGCCGGCATCGCTTTTGTTATTATTTAAACAACACTATTTTTCTTAGGAAAGTGTTGCCGGCCGTCTTACGGCGCGTCGCGGCGGCGGCGGCCGGATTTATATATGTAGCCTAATTTAACCTATCATATCTATGTAACAAGAGCGTTTCGATACATTGACCAACACCCTCTAGGTATTCTGTATAATGATCGGACGTTTTATGGATTGACCGAAACTTGTTACGGACATTTTGCACAATGTCTTTTCTGCACAATGTCATTTCTACACAATGCCCGGCCATTTTACAAAATGCCCACGTTAAACACATTGCCCGTTACAAACGATTTCATCACGATTGGTTCATTCCTTGCAAAGTAACACCAAGAAATAAGCTTTTTGCTATAACAATAGTTATTAACAATAATAAATTCTATACATTTTTGGAAGCGAGCTCATCACGAAAATATCTCCAATTAGATTGGAAAGCTTTCATCGCGGACGGTACATTCCGTGTAGAGTAACACCAGCGAATAGGTTTCGAAAATAGGCTGAAAAGTGGAAATCGTGTCCAGCTCTGATTTATAACAATCCGAGTTTGTAAGAAACGATAATTTATAACAGACATTGTAACCGTAACAATGATAAAAAAACATGGGCATCGCGGGACGGCCGATAAGAGCGAAGCTCAAGTCATAATGCGTAAAGGGTCTAGCCGTATAAGCATAGTGAATCGGCCCCAGTAACAATTTCGGTTGATATTTATATCACATAATGCTTTTTGCCTAAACAACAATTGTGTGCAATTTCAACCCCCTACCCCCTCTGATAAGGGAGATATGAGGGTAAAACCCAAAACCTTTACCATTTTTTTTCTCGGAAACTATTTAAGATATTTGATCACATTAAAGTGCAAATAGTAGGTATTCATTAACTGTATATCATATTTTTTTTTCAAAATTTTTATTCGATGATTAAGGGTTGAAAATTAATAAATAAATCTTTGAAAATGATTTTTATAAACAATCCCTTGGATGACACCCACCGAAAAAATTAAGAATAATCCTTTACTATTTAACTATTATCTGTAAAAATTTCAAAAGTGTCGGATTGGTACATCATAGTTAAAAAAAAATAAAACCAATGCAACGCCCTTTCATATGGCAAAGCCGGCCTGAATGTTAGAGGCGCTCAACCTAACCGACCTACAGGGGAATACGTAGCGCCGACCCGCCACGTTTCTCGTACCAGAAACAGCTCTCAGAAAAGTATGAGCTCTTCTTTCCCTAAACTGTGTGTTAGTTAACAGTCATTTATTTAAATAATATATTAACAATTTAAATTTTTTAATTAAGTTTTCTGGTCCTAACTTTTAACGTCCGTGTTTTCACAGTCTTTCTCGTTTTAAGTATGTGGGAGCCCTAAATCACAGATTTATATCATGTATTGAACAATGGCACTGTGTTAGATGCCATTAGTTGTCCTTTTAATAGTCAAAGAAGGTATCACAGGTATAACTGCAATATCATTCTATTCAACGCTGTAAAGAACATAGACTTCTATAACTATTTCCGTCTTTACCTTTTCACGTACGTATTACTTTTAATTAAATTGTAGCTGGTACCTGTGAATAGTTGTAACTAAGATTTTCCTCGTTTTAAGTATATGGTCGCCCTGAAAAGGGTTAATTATATTATAGCGTACCAGTACTACCTGGAAATGGCTGCAATTAAGGTGACCTTCGTTTTAAGTATATGGGTGTCCAGAAAAGAGTTAAGCGCGTTTTATGGTACAAATGGTGTATTTTTCAATGCGGTTTATATGCCCCGATACTTTTTTACGCAATCACGGAGCCTAAATTGGCGTGTAAATAGACGCATCATAAAGGGTAAAGCGTACGATCCTGAGTCCATGATTTTAGTGTCCACTGTCTTGTTCCCTCTTGTTGCCGAATATAGAGGACTCGTTAATTGGATAGAATTTGCAAACTTTAACATCTCACGGTAAAAACGTTATCTTGCGGAATTATTGGACGAACATGACGCGTTAAATATACAATATTTACAATAAAACAATAACATTATAAAAATGAAAGTTCGGTCGCGACATATAAACGGTAAAACTTACAATTGTTACATAGAATACAAATCAAACGTAAATAGTTACGCGGGTATAAACCAATATGCATGCGATTGTCCGAATGGTAACAGAACGGTAGGTTGTTGCTCCCACATCGTCGCGATCATTTATTATTTATCCCATGCGTGTTATAAATCCAGAATAGTTAAACCGTCCGAAATTTTAACTCACTTGTTCGACAAAACTAACATTATTCCAGTTATTGATGAAAATAGCGACGAAGATTAAAATTTATTTACAAGCGTGTTTTTTTAAAAAAAGTTTTTGAGTTTTCTGTTTCAAATCATATACTTCAACCTGACAATACATAACACAATCAGCTCTTTTTAGGGCTTAATAATCAGCCGTTTTCAGGGCTCCCACATACTTAAAACGAGGAACACCTTAGTTGCATTTATATAAGGGTGCCATTTGTAACGTACAACATAATCAGCTCTTTTTAGGGCTCCCACATACTTAAAACGAGAAACACCGTGAAAACACGGACGTTAAAAATTAGGACCAGAAAACTTAATTAAAAAATTTAAATTGTTAATATATTATTTAAATAAATGACTGTTAATTAACACACAGTTTAGGGAAAGAAGAGCTCATACTTTTCTGAGAGCTGTTTCTGGTACGAGAAACGTGGCGGGTCGGCCCTACGTATTCCCCTGTAGGTCGGTGAGGTTGAGCGCCTCTAACGTTCAGGCCGGCTTTGCCTTATGAAAGGGCGTTGCATTGGTTTTATTTTTTTTTAACTATGATGTACCAATCCGACACTCTTGAAATTTTTACAGATAATAGTTAAATAGTAAAGGATTATTCTTAATTTTTTCGGTGGGTGTCATCCAAGGAATTGTTGATAAAAATCATTTTCAAAGATTTATTTATTAATTTTCAACCCTTGATCATCGAATAAAAATTTTGAAAAAAAAATATGATATACAACTAATGAATACCTACTATTTGCACTTTAATGTGATCAAATATCTTAAATAGTTTCCGAGAAAAAAAATGGTAAAGGTTTTGGGTTTTACCCTCATATCTCCCTTATCAGAGGGGGTAGGGGGTTGAAATTGCACACAATTGTTGTTTAGGCAAAAAGCATTATGTGATATCAATATCAACCGAAATTGTTACTGGGGCCGATTCACTATGCTTATACGGCTAGACCCTTTACAGTTTAGAATTGATTTAGTAATTTCATGGTATAATATTGAAAATGAAAATAAAATGGTCACTATTAGAGAAATGATATTTATTACTATAAATAAATACGGCGAGATCGTCTTTTGTCGCGAACGTTCTCGTACGCACGATCGACGCGAAATTTCGCTGGATATCCGCTACAATACTAATAACACTGCCCAACAGTGAATTTGTGTTCCGATCCCCACTAAGTGATTCTTATAGTGTTTTGAACGCTGATTACGTATCTGCAAACCGTTTTGCTCCTATACGTACAGTTTTTGAGAAATTTGATTTTGAAAAAAAAACATATTTTTCAGATTTAAACAAATTTTCTAACGTGATTATAAAAGATATTGAAATTCTATTTACACTAAAAGATTCTGTAGACTTTCCTGAATACAACGATACCTATCTTTAATACATTAGAAATGTTTAAGTATGTTTAAACGGTCATTGAACGCGGAGGGACCCCGAATTGACACCAATTTTTTAGGATATTTTTCAATTTATCTGAAAAAGTAGAGGTCCAGCGTAAAATCGAATTATACCACGCGATAGAGCAGATTTTTATCTTGAAAATCCACCCAGAGAAAGTTGCAACATCGAATTTTTTATCAAGCCAGAAAGCGAAATAGCCTCGCGGGAGACGAAGCACCGACAGTGGTGCTCCGCATCACGACGGTTGCTCGGCGTCCTGCATATATTACAATTATGTCAGCTTACTTCAATATGAAATTTATTATTATTATTATTATTATTATTATTATTATTATTATTATTATTATTATTATTATTATTTATTGCTATACTACTAGCATATTTGTTATTTATCAATAATTTTACAATATAAATGGATATTCATAAGTTAAAATACATACCTAGAATTTTTTCGTCCCGACTGATGTTTATGTGGTGAATTTATATCCACGATTAATGTCCAACAATAGTCTGCAAGCATCGTGGCACTATCTTTTGCAAAATACCGATTCTCCATAACTGAAATGTCCTGATGAAATCTTTCACCGTGTTCGTCACTTACATCACCAAGATTGCACGGAAAAAAGTCTAAGTGGCAATATAGAAAATGCATTTTGAGTGACATATTGCACCCTAATCTATAAAACGCATCTATTAATTCTTTCACTACCTCAGTATATTTCGGTGAACGATATTTTCCTAGAAAATTCTGACGTATATTTTCGAAAGCTACCCAGGCTCTCTTTTCCGGTGAAGTCATTGTATTGAAAAATTCTTTATTTCCAATTAAAGTTCTAATTTGTGGTCCTACAAAAATTCCTTCCTTTATTTTGGCTTCTGATAGACCAGGAAATTTCGTTCGTAAGCGGATAGACTGAAAAGTAATGTCGACAAGTGCAGTGGCGCATGGGGACCGGACGGCGCGCGATGGTCCGCCGGCAGGTCATGCGCAGCAATAAAATTTTATAACTCCGGCAATTCTGCGTGTTTCATCATGAAATTTTCAGGGTATTTAGAAAACTCACCGATTCGTGCTCCCCCTTGGGGTTATTTTCAAGTTTGAAAATTATAAACATTATTTACAACAATTTGAAGATTGCGTTGACACATGTAGTAATTTTTTTATTAAACTTTGAAGTTTTACCTATAAAATGCTGGATCATGCATGCCGATATCTATAATACTTTCCGAGTTATGATTTTTTGATCAAAAAGTGACCCTAAACTTTCAGTCCTTATAACTCGGAAAGTTTAAACAATATGGAGGAACGGAGCATCGATTTTTTGTTCGTACATTGGGTTTTACAAGCCTACAAAATTTAACAAAAATCCAAGACCATGTGGGAAAAAGTGTGATCACTTTGCGTGGAATGGCCCATATGTGAATATGTGTGCGTCAACCGACCGTCGCCAACGATACAATGTATCGTGGAGAATGGGACGTTCGAGCCTGGAAGAGGCGATGAACTCCGACGCGTGAATTTCTTTTTCGCGCATCGTTCTATCGACTAGGATAGCCGTTTTCAACCCATGTGTCACAAGACGTACTATCATTATTTTTTGTTACTATTATTATTCTTTTTTTTTAGTGAAACTGCAAAAGAAATACGTCCTTCCCGATTTCGATGATTTTTAGATATGTTATAAAAATTGATATTTTGAACAACTTTTTCTTATACATATAAGGAGCGTTCTCGCTTAGTTTCCGAGATATTCGCAAAAATATAGTTGTTGATCTGTGACAGCATACATTGCGTCAAATTGCTTGCCACTTTTCTGTTTAGAAACGAGGGTCGAACGAGAGTGAAGGTTTCATTCACAACTGCATGTACCAGACTCCAAGAAATGTCTATTCAAACCCAATTACAAGTGAATGTTATTGATGTAATCAGTTAGGTTATAGTATACAGGGTGTCCCGTAACGTATTTTCACCCTCTGAGGTGGTGATAGGTGGAGTTATTCTGAACAACTTTTTCCTTTGCAAAAAAGTGGTTTGAAGCTTCCTTTTTGAATTATTAAGCAAAAACACTGACCAATCCGAGCGCGTACAGCGCGCGGGCTCAGGGACGGCAGCGTCGGCTACGAAAGCGGGGCTTGACGTAGATCGCGAACGAATGGCTCGACACCCCATTGACATAGCACAATAAAAAAATTGAACTGGTTGAACATTTTTAGTTGTTGTTTAAAATGAATACGGAATCTAATCGCTTGTCGCCTATCATTATGTAAAAAAGAAAATTCTAAACATTCTAAACAACAAATAAAAATGTTTGAAATTAAATAATTAATAAAAATTTTAAAACAATTTAAATGAAACTTACCCATCCGTTCCTAAATTAATCTGCTATGCTGAAAACAGATAATTATCACTGGGTCACTGTGACAATCTTGAACATTCGAGGAGGGAACAAATTATGAAGAACAGCTGATCTCCAGACGAGATCATTGAACCCACTCAACCTCACAGTCACTATCACCTTTCACAGAATTTTCTTTCAGGTAAATAAACATTTTTATTCACTGTCACGTTACTATTGCACTGGACACAAATGAAAAACATGTAATATTCCGCACTACTTCGTAACGTTTTCACAACGTTATTGGTCTTCCTTTCCAACTTCAAATGGGCCTGCCAGCTTGAATGTGTGAGGTCTGTTTCACTCTTTGTCCTTTTCTATGTTCGGTGACTTCAAAGGGTCGACACGAGCCTCTCTCGGTTACTCTTGGTTACTGTCAAGGGGAACTACCCAAGTGTTACGCTCACTTATCAATGAAACTTTGCCACCTTGTAGAGCTCGTCGCCCTGAACACGCCTATACCCCCTTTTGGGGGCAGACGGCTAATTGTTTAAAAGATATTAACAATTAAAGTTAGTTACAACTTACATTGAGAAGCATGACAAACTAATACAGTATAGACTCGTTATAAGCAAAACGCTCGGGACCGGACTTTTGCTTATAACGTGTAGTTCCACCATTGTTTGATATTTGCCGACTGCTTCGACATAGAACGGTTTGTTTTCGCTCCGTCCTCTTTTGCACTCAAGGTCCTTTTCTACGTTCGAAGCAGTCGGCTAACATCAAACAATAGTGGAACTACACGTTATAGGCAAAAGTCCGGTCCCGTGCGTTTGGTTGTAACTAGTTTACATGGTAAATATGGTCCGAATTATATCGTGTTTGGTATCATTTTAATTAGAAAAATGTCAGAAATATCATGGAAAAAGGTCTATAAAAAAAAACTGAAAAATAGCAAAGTTAGGTTGTTGCATTAGTGTTGCCTCACCGATATCTGATCCAAGATCATGTTACGCTACTCGGCGAGCGAGCTTCGCGACGTCTCGAGGGGTATACCCCCCAGTGGTGGGGATGGTTTCTTTGCAAATATCGTACAGAACTTTTTAGCTTATAACGAGTCTATACTGTACATATAAATGCTTAGCTCCGCGGTAAAACGCTTGACTCGGAATCTAACTGTCCACGGTTCAAGTCCATGGTTCCCAACTTTTTTTTCTTTTTTCTTTTTAATGATAATTTGTCTTTTTTTGAATAACTATTACAACTGTGTTATAATCATTGCATTTATTAATAGGTAATTAATTACATGTGCTGAAATTTTTATAGAATTTAAGTTATCTTTTCTATCCAATACGTACATTAACACCCTTACCGCATTCAAAATTTACACGCGTTTATTTGTAATTAATTACTTGTAACTTCTCAGTGTATTGACCGATCTCGATGAAATGTTCAGCATACACATAACATATTTTTTACAAATGTTATATTTTAACAGTAGAACACCAAAAATACCTTGATAAAATTTTTTAATTTCAAATAAGAAAATGGAAAGCGACTACAGTGTCGCACGGCAGAGGAAGTAAAGGAACCGAAGAGAGAAATGAGGATGGATAGAAGCGAAAGTAGGTGTTTCTTTTTATTTAACAATACCTTGGTAACATTTTTTTATTTCAAATAAGAAACTGGAAAACGATCATTTTGACCCCTTTGGTAGTTCTAGTGTCAAATTTTCATCACAGGCTCAAATAAAAAATTTTAAAATTGCCTTTTTTAGACGCGTGTCCGCGAGACAATGAAACAGACGACTATTCCAACGGTTTCTGCAACAATTGTTGCAATAATTGTTGGAATAATCGTATGTTATATTGTCTCGCGGACACGCGTATACACTTTTACTATTTTGCAACAGTATGCTGCAACAGTATTGCGGGATATTACGAACTCTCCCACGCATGCAACCACATATAAACTTCATTTAAAGAATCCGGAAGAAGGAAAGAAACAGCTGTCATGCTTAGAAGCTCTATCTATGTTTGTCGAAGCAGGATTATCAAGAAACCAATACGAAATAGTCAGGACCAGTGACAACAAATTGTTTCCATGTTATTCTCTACTGCAAAGGGCTAAAAAAGATTGCTATCCTGTTCCTAAAAGTTTTAAAGTAACTGCAACTTGTGTTGAGGTTAAGTTACAAGACTTACTAAATCACACAGCTGCTCGTTTATTGTTGTATTTGAAAGAAGTGTTAAATAACATGACGGAAATTGAAAAGAGCAGCTTAGAATTAATAAGTAAATGGGGATGCGATGGATCTAAACAATCACAGTTTAAACAAAGGTTTGACAATAGCTCTGATTCCGACTGCAATATATTCAAAGTTCTTTGTTACCCTTACAATTAATCTGTTCGGCAAATAGAAAAGTCATTTGGCAGAATCCGACACCATCTTTACTAAGGTTTTGTAGACCTATCAAGATAAGATTTGTGAAGGAATCTACTGATATAACAACTGAAGAAATAAGTTACATACAGGAACAAATAAATGGACTAAGGGAAACAGAAATTGAAAGAACTGGACCTGTATCTGTAAAACATACTTTGCTTTTTACTATGGTAGATGCCAAAATATATAATGCGGCAACACGTACTATTTCAACGATGAAATGTTACATATGTAGATTAACTTCCAAGGAATTTAATAACTTGTCAGAAACAAGAGAAGTTAATCCAAGCTCGTTGAAGTTCGGTTTGTCCATCTTACATGCTCGAATAAGATTTTTTGAGAGTTTACTACACTTGTCATACAAGTTGACGGTAAAAAAATGGCAAATACGATCCCAGGATGAAAAGCATGTGGTCGAAGAAAGAAAGAAAATAATACAACAGGAATTTAAAACTAAACTCGGTATCATCGTTGACATGCCGAAACCTGGATTCGGGAATACCAATGATAGTAATACCAGCCGAACATTTTTTTTACACCACGAATTATCAGCTGCAATCACAAATATTGACATTCAGTTAATATACCGATTTAAAGTGATATTAGAAACAATAGCAAGTGGTTACAAGATCAACACTCAACAATTTTCAACATATACATCAGATACAGCAAAACTTTACGTTCAGCTTTACCCGTGGCACCCGATGACTCCAACAGTACACAAAATTTTAATTCGTCGACCAATAGTAATAGAAAATGCCGTTTTATCGATTGGCCAACTTTCCGAAGAGGCAGTGGAAGCTAGGAACAAGCATTTTCGCTTGTACAGGCAAAATTATGCACGA